TGGTGAGGGACTTCATCAATTTGTGCCATGTTTTGGTTTTGCCACTTTGAACTCTCTTCCAAGCCTATCTAACTTCCCTTACAGGCGGTGGATCGGCATGCATGCTAAATCTCTAAGCCATCTTAGTCGATGAACATTCAAAACCTCATCAATCGACGTGTCTGTCTTGCTTACTACCGTTCACCAGACCTTTACATTGCTCACACGGTAATTCCAGCAAACGCGAGTAGTACTACGAAGGCAACTATGATCAAAACGGTGTAATGGGTCTTCTGTATCTTATCTGAGATTTTGTCAGCAACCCCTCACCCTCCTTCGGGCTGATGTAGCGCTCCAAATTATCTTATATTCGACAGGTCCGAGTAAAACGCGTGCCAAACATATTCCAATTTATGCTCAACAAGTCCAAAAGGCTCTACATTTTGTCAGCGTCTTCAACTAGCAGCAATATCGTCTGCATACGCAAAATCAACCAGATGACCTCCAGGGAGTAGGTCAAACCCAGTGAAGTCAGACATACCTAGGGTAATGTCTATTAGTAGTGCGTCTATGACGAAGTTAAATAAAAACGGTCACAGTAGACATCCCTGCTGGACACCTCTAGTTGTCGTCAACTCACTTGATAACTTTCCATAAGCCCTTACATGGCTGCATAATTTCGAGCAGAAAGCCTTGATTAGTGTAATATACTTGCTCGCTACTCCCTTCACAGTCAGACACTATCACAACACCCCACGGTCGACAGAGTCAAGTGCCGCCTTCAGGTAGAAAAACATGCTAAGTGTCAGCTTGCGGTAAGTACACCTGTGTTTCAGAACCTGTCGAAGAGGGAAAATATATGTGATTCTGAATTATGCTGGAGAATAATGGAAGTTAGTCACTTTTATCATTCATTACAGTGATATGATTTTAGACATATACACTTGTCTTTTGTTGCCTCAGATATGACAATTAAAGCGGACTTTCACCTCCTCTCCTTTCCCCTAATTCTCATTGCTATATTCATCTAATTTTAACTTGTTGGGTAAATATTAACTTTTTAGATGCGGACAGCTTTGTCCTATATGTGTAAAACCTGACCTCCAAGTGGAGGATATTTCAATACTATTGTCTTCTAAAGAATGCTCAAATCAGATTAAACCAGTAATTCTGAAATCTATTGTTCTTTGCTGATGAAGTTAACCAATAACAATTGTTTATTGTTTAAATAGTTTGTTATCTTTGTAGATAAAATTGTCGAATTACTCTTGTTTGCATTGTGTTATCAATAAATTCTCATCAGGTTTTCGCATATGCGTTGTACGTTCAGGTATGTATGTCCCCGGATAGGTGAACATTTACCGGTTTGGTCTGGAAAAGATGAACACAGGAGCATCATACAAATGCTTATCGAGCTTTTAATATCATACATAGTACATCACATGTAGTTCATCAACACCTGCTCAACATAGTTGAGGCTGTCACAATAAGACTAATCCCACCTGAAGTTTACATTTGGGTCGAATGTGTTAAGGTGTTATTCCTACCTTGACCTTCATTAAGCTAAAAGGTCACTCCTATCTTATTTGTTGTACTTTCGTAGATCATCAATCATATTCTTCATCTATTATCTTCAACCTCGTTTGTAATGATTGATAATAGCTAGCAATGGGAGCCATGGTGCATGTTTCGTCCAATTTGCAAGCGACTCGTCAGCTGAATGTACCTGTCTCTCAGTGAGTGTTTTTGTTTCCATTGAGGCTGTAACCCAGGAACAACACCACCTACTCGAAGACAGGTACATCCAGCTGACGAGTTCCGAAGTGGACGAAATACTCGTCCACTGCTAGCCACTATCGATTAGTATTATCAGTCTGAAACTACAAGGGATATCGAAGCATCCACACAGGAGCGTATATGCTAATAGAAATCGATCAATTTGGTCCGACCAACGACGGGAAATTATAAAGCCATAGTGTAAAAATCAACTTCTTTACACCCTTTAACTCTCATTCTATTTTGGAAATGTATTCACCTCAAAGTCGGCCCTATCTTTTTAGGCCATACCATTCCACTTGATAATTGAGGCAACAGATAACTAACCAGTAGACAAATTGAATCAGCGTAGAACCTCGCACACAGGTACATCAGCTCAAATTGCCACATTTTACAGTAGTACACAAAGAACAAGTGGATTGAAAAAGAGTCATATTGTTTCGAGAACCCTATCCGAGTACCTTCCACCTACCTAGGTAGCATCGTTTCAACTGCAGGTGGCGGCACAGATGACAGTGTCAAAGCCAGCATCGGAAAGACAGCAAGACAGGTCTTCATTAATCTGAAATCAGTGTGGAGATCTACTGCACTGCACTTACCATAAACAACAAGATCCAGATTTTCAACACTAATTCAGTCAAGTGAGTCAGTGCTCCCATGTGATGGTTAAGAGACTTGGCACGTTGCGAAAAGTATTTCCAACAAAGTGTAGACGTACATGAACACCTGCCGCATACGCTCACTTGATACTGAACGTCAGATGGTCAGAGGGAATAAGCGACGAGGAACTGTGGTCTGGCAACGAACCAACAAAACAAGAACCTATCGTCCAACAAATATGCAGAAGAAGAAAGTGGAGATGTATTGGACTAAACGTAGACTGAGAAAACCGTTTGGGGACATCACGTGCCAGGCTAGCCCTTGAGTGGAACCTAAATGGGAAACGATGAGTTGGGGATCCGATGGTGACATGGAGGAGATCGTGTGAAGAAGCAATGAAAGCTTGTGGGCAGTCGTGGAGCCAGGTTGAAAAGACTGCAGTGAAGATAGTGAAATGACGACGTGCTACTGAAGTCGTATGTTCCACTAGTAACCCAAAGGACAAATAAAAAAAAATAAAAAATAAATCCAAGTAGTCTGCAACTCCGTACATAACTCACATTACCAGTAGGAGGCTTCATCGACTGGTGCCATGTCTTAGTCGGGCCACTGTGAACCCTCTTCCAACCTAATCCAACTTTCTTCATCATGGCACGTCGAGGTAGGCGGTGGATCGGCATCTCAGTCGACTAAGGTTCGCAACTTCATCGATAGACTTGCCTAGTACCCTTCGTCTAACCTCTTCATTGGTCACACGGTGATTTCATCAAACGTCTGCCAAATTATTTATTGAATACGAAACATCCGTTTTTAACATTTAGAAAGCAAACAATGTTGGCGAAAAAACATTTCTTTTCAAATATCTCGTTTTTCGTCAATGACTCTACGCTAATGTACAGCATTTTAAACATATAAAATGATATAGAAGTAGTATTCATTACGGACTGACATCATTTGGGGAACCATTGAAAATCTGGGAGCACTAGACGGCTGTTTCGTCCTAGTATAGGACTTGTTAGCAGTACGCACTTACGACTGTACCAGGGATCGAACCCACGACCTTCAGGGTCCGTGGACAGCATATAACCATTAAGCTGCTGGGTAGAAACCTAATGGTCCATATCTCCATCTCCTGTCAGTTCACGACATAGCACGTCTATTACCCAATGTGCCTGTTGATTACCTGTCTTCATGTTCGACTTGGTTGGCCCCACTGGCCGCGGAACCTAAGGGTCTTAGGTCCCATGTCTAACTGGGTTGGGTCACGAACACGCACTGGTGAGGAGTCCCAAACTAGGACGAAATAGCTGCTGTCCAGTTCTCTCAGGTTTCCATGGTGAATACCAACTCAAGATCAACAAAATCCTCACAAACCTCCAAATTATGTCAAATGGTCAATTGTTGACGATAATTAGGTCGCATGGGTGAGATCAGATGGAAGGCGTTGTGACTGATTAACTCGATGGCATTCAGTATCAATCAGATGACAGAGTATTGAGCTTCATATCGATCTTGTCTACGCTTAATTTAACCATGATGGAAGATATTCGATAATTCAGCGCGATGAACTTGTCTAACTGTATGTCCATAGGAGCAGTTGAATTAATAAGTGGAGGCGAAGTCAGATAGTTTGTTTTTGTTTCGTGAAGATAAGTTTGCTGCATTATATGAGCTCCTTATAATATGCCTTAGTTCATATTTTTAACTAAGAACGTTTCTGGATATTCATTACTACTGATTACTATTATTTTATATTATTTGTCACTTGGGTTCCTAGTGAAACATACGGCTTCAGTAACACGTTGCCATTTCACTCTGTTCTCTGCATTCTTTTCAGCCTGGCTTCATGACTGCCCATAAGCTTTCATTTCTTCTTCACACGATCTTCTCCATGTCACCCTCGGACGCCCAACTCGTTGTTTCTCATTTGGGTTCCACCCGACCGTCTGGCCTGGGCGTTCGTTAGAAATACTTTTCGCAACGTGCCAAGTCTCTCAACCATCACATAGTAGCACTGACTTAACTGAATTAGTGTTGAAAATCTGGATCTTGTTGTTTATGCTGAGTTGAGGCTTTGACATTGTCATCTGTGCCGCTACCTGTAGTTAAAACGATGCTGCCTAGGTAGGTTGGTAGGTAGGTGAAAGAGACAACTTCCTTTCGATTTCTCCTGTTGATAGTGACTGATGGTTGTTGTTGTTGGTTGGATATCTTCATCACCTGTGTTTTCTCTACGTTCACGTGAAGGAAGTCCCATCTTCGCTGTTTCGCCTCTTCTTCCAACTTATTAGTTTTTGTTTGTAGATCTTTGAGTTTGTGCGACAGACATAAATCATCATGGATGAAATCGAAATCTTCTAGGGCCTTTTCATTGGTCAAACAACGTATACGGATCTTCTCGCTCCTCACAGTTTCTTGCATGATCCAGTCCTCCACTGAGTAGTAGATCACAAATAATTTCAAGGTCTTCATCGAAAGTATCATCTGAAAAAAACGTAAGATTTACTCGATATGTCGAAGATTTTAACTAAATTTTTCTTCATATTACATGAACCTACAGTCTATTACTATCATCAATTATTCTTACTGTATTCATTCTGTTTTTTTTTTTTTTCGTTTTATTTCTGCTGATAATTTTTCTCTAGATGATGGTTCTATCACCTTCATGAATCAAGTATCTATTCTTCATCACCAAGGTAATGGTTTCAACGTTGATCGTGCCAAACAGATGATATCTACTGATAACCTCTGGTCTCTTATTCTCTGCATTATTCTTATCCTAGGCTTATTTGACATTGATACTATCTGGCCAAAATATTGGCGTTATGGTTTTACTATATTCATGTCAATGCTTTACTTTATACTAACTAACATCAATTATGGACTAACGTATTTCGAAATGATGAATTTATCGAATTTATTGCTGAATAAAACGTTGAACAGTAATAGTTTACTGGTGATGAATTCATCATTGACAATGTCAGCGTTATCACCGTCATCATCAATATGTCCGTTATGGGTTCAAAAGGCCACCTTCGTTCAGCCTATATCATGGTGGACTGATTATAAAGGCATATTATGGCGAAGTGTAAGTTATTCTACTATTGTTGTTAATTAATCGAAACTAACCCGCTTTCATTCGCTAACTCTATAGGTGATAGTCGTCTAGAAGGTGACGTGCTCATCACATGGGGAGATCTGTTGAACTACCTACGCTTCAACCTCTCGTGATGTCGTGTATATCTACTGATGATAGGCCTGCAGCTAATTAATAATAAAGCTAAAACTTTATAATGTGTATTAGAAGGCACCAGACCTGTCGTATCCCTCCCCCTTTTTGGGAGTGACTTTAAAAGTCACTACCGTAATACCCAACCAAGTCCGAGTATTCCAGCTAGAAAGGGTAGAAACGTAATTAATTATTTCAGCAGTTGCTAGGATGGCCTTTAAAGTTACTCCTTTTTATGGCATGGCCAGTAGTTCACTTCGCTGCCTCCTTCCATTTTCAAGGTAATTAACTGATTTTAATCTGGAGGTTTGCAGGGGTTTATTGATTTTTCAAGTTGGTTTTCATCATGGACTGACTGACATCAGTTGGGAGAACATTGGAAACCTGGGAGCACTGGACTGTATCTGTCTCGTGCTAGTATGGGACTCATCAGCAGTGCATATCCGTGACCCTACTAGGGATCGAACCCACGACCTTCAGGTTTAGTGACCAGCATGTTACCATGGAGCCACTGGGTAGAGAGGTGATTCCTGAAGTAACAATGAGAAGTCGTGAGCGATGGGGCAAACCCAGTGGACATGAAGACTGATACTCAACGATGGCATTGATTGATGCTCGCGCTATGTCATGAACTGCCAGAAGTTGGAAATACGGGTCACTGAATCCCGATCTAGTGACTGAATGGTAAGGTGCCGGCCAGGGGATCTGAAGGTTTTGGGTTCGATCCCTAACGGGTTGGGGTCATGGGTACGCACTGCTGACGATTCCCATGACAGGACGAAACGTATCCTGTCTCTCCAGGTTTCGAATGTTCCTTCAACTAATGTCAGTCCATGATGAAAACCAACTTGGAGAGAAATATTCACTGTTTTTTAATGCTTGCTTTTACTATGTTTATGTTTTAAATGCTGGACAAGGTCATATGTCATGCATGCATATATGTATAGTTATCGTAAGTAATTAGCATAGTGAGTGGTATCTGTCGTAAATGTATCGATGGATGTTTAGTTTGAACCGCAATGCGTGACGCAACGCAGCTGAGTAAAGGACGAATCTAATAATTTCATTAACCAAAATCATCGATTCAGTATCAGTGTCTTTATGCTGAATTATTATTACTTGGTTGTCTGGGTTGAATTATGTTGGGATGGGATTCGAACCAGGGGAGATCGACCGTTTAAGCTGCTGGCTGATAAACACATATTATACTGGTTGACAAAGGGAGGATGATGTTGCCAGTGAAAGAGTTGGGTTAAGAGGATGTAATGAAATGTTGTGGAAGGTTATGAGAAGAAAAAAAGGTGGGGGTGGAAATGACTAGGCGTGTAAGACCAAATAACGAAATGCCGCGAATCACTTGTAATCTCTAACCTCCGGTTTTTGTGTGGATGTCATCCTAGGAGTTCACATTTACTCTACACACTGGTTAGTCCAATAACCGGAGACTATGTAGACTGGAGCCACGTTTCAGTCGTTGAGAATATTAACCATTTGCAGTGTTAAGTTAGTTTATTTACAAAGAGTTTATTGTTTACATGTTAGTTTTAGTGATAAATCCAATTTATTACACTGTATACTGTCATTATATTCTAGTTGGTGAATCATGTTCCACTGTGCCTGCCACCTCCCAACTCTGTCATCGTCATTAGATGTGAACCAGATGTATGAAAGCTGTAACATCACGAGAGTTTATGCTACCTGTTAGTGCATACTTTAAGAAAAAACAGTTTCCTTATTGTTATTTTTCAAGATATTTCCCTACGATTATTTTCTCTCTTCTTCTCATCTATTTTATAGAATCTATCAACACTATGTGCAATATTTTCTGCTCATTTAATTGGTCAGGCAATTGCAATATGGACAAGTCAACATCGTTATCGGTTGTTTCTTACAGCTGGTTATACTCAAGCTGTACTCTTTCGATTACAAATGACCGAATCAAAACTGGTAAGCCTTTAATCTGTAGTATATAGTAGGTTATTGAGAATAGCTTCTATGTGTATGACTCAGTGCAAACCTTGATGGATAGTCTTCAATTCATGGCCGAGAACTAAAGGCTGATTGTTAGTTGTGACCTGAAAAGCTGATTAGTTAGCTGTTTGAGAGTGGCTTCTTTTCATACTTTTATATTCAAGTGACATACTAATCACTGCAACAACCGCATGCTATGACTTGTGTGTGATTGGCTGTTACCACCTAAGTCTTTTCACTGTCTCAATCTTCATTTTGACTGGTTATCCTACTTGACATTCAGGTGAGTCAGAGATGAACAGAGACATACTGACATTGACTCAATTTATCAACCAATAAGAAATGACAAGGTTTAATTTCAGGACAACCAATCAAAATAAGGCTGGAAACGACAAGATCTTGGCTAAAACAACCAATCACACACAAGGCCATCAAGACAAGCTACTAGATAAATTGGAGAGAAAACTCTACAGTTCACTTCTTTCTGAAGCTTGTGTTGATGGTGATGCGTCTATAATGACAATGATGAAAGCTTCCTCAATAAAACCACCCAGCTTAGAAAACAAAACACCATCGGAATTTTAAGCTATCCAGCTAGTCCCAATTTGCTAGCTATGGGTTTCTTTCTATTGATGATGGAATCTCATAGTCTTCTCCATTACAACAGTTAGTCCATTTGTTCGGAGGAAGTTCAAAAAGCAGTAAATTGAAGACCTAGTTTAGTTGATCTACTCAAGGGTGTCGCCTAATGGGGTGGTTTGAGCAGCCAGTTAGTGGGGGTATCACTACCCCCCAAATAGACAGTGTATGTGTGATGCTCATTGCTGTCTACTGCACGAGGGTGCACAAGGTTGTTGCTGAGTGGATTTCAATTTTAGGGTTTCCAACTTCACTCTGACACTGGATACCTGTAAGCGTGAAGCCTTAATTGAAGGTTTCATGCCTGATATTCTCACTGACGCGCACTGCCTGCCTCTCAACTTTTATGTACCTTGGTATTCCTTCTTCTTCATCCTGTCACTCCTCTCCTACCTCTTGTTATCATATGCTTTTCCTTTACTTTTGACTACTTATATCGTGATTTTTCTATTATCTTACTGCATTGCAGCATGATATACTTATGTGAGGGGTGGGAACTTGTAGGCCAATAATGCAGGTCCTACGTTGATATTTCACTGACTGGATTATCTTTTGTGTACGTTACGGCGCTGCACATTCTACTCTGCGACTTCCTCTTTTGCTCTGTGTCGACTTAAATCGTACTTGGCGTCCATTTGATAGTGTTGTCAAGTATGTGTGATCAGTTGCGTGATCACAGTTTTACTGTTGTCCTAAGTTATCTAGATCACAGAAATCTTTATTCTTCTCAAGATTTTTTCCACCATAGACAAAATCAACGTAGAATCTTGCACAGTCGTATACAAAGAACAGGTGAACAGAAAATGAGTCATATCAAAGTAAACAATGTTGTGTGAGAGAAACAGCAATTTGAAGATGAAGGTTAGTGTGAATATTCAAGCTTTAGAAGACGTCATGGAGTGATTACATCTTCGCCATTGTCACTGATTTCCAACTACTTCACCAAAGGTCGGTTACCATTGATTCCCGTCGTCTCACAGACTCCAACCAGATAGTCCACATCACCCCACACGACTCAGACCGCCAGTAAGAAACCTCATGGACTGATATCATATTTTAATCTGGCCACCCTAAATCCTCATCCAACTTAATCCAACTTCCTCTAGCGTGACACATCGAGGAAGGCGAACGAGTACAACCTATTTAAATAGTAAATAGAGAGGAATCAAATCACGTTGTTCATGCATCAGTGGAATCTAAGATGTGCATTTCAACCTGTTTGGGACTTATCACCTAGATGTACGCCTGCCTCCCTCTGAATGATGTTGTTCCCACTAGGACTCTAACTGTGAACTGACTAATTCAAACGCCAGACCAGTATACACTTAGCCAATGAATTACGATGGTCACTTTCATCTAAATGGATCATTGATTCAAACTGTGCTCCGACTACCGATATTGCTTAGATAACCAGGTAGTCGTAAGTCTAGATGACTGTTTTTTCGTCTAAGCCATGTGAGGAAGCGTAGACTAACCTGGCTTGAATCCTTGGAACCATAGAGGAGTTTTGATGACATCGCTGAAAGTTCACTCCTTGGCTTCTTCTCATGCTTGAATATGCTTTTTAAAAGCCTAAATGATTACATCCATATACACATATATCTGCTTTCAAAAAAGTACTAAACAAGAGAAAAATTCTCGTTTATTTACAAACATAGTAGGATGACATATAAGATAGGCGGATAAATCATGAACAAAGTAAAAACGTGAAAGGATTTAGTCAGTGACTTTCTAATTATCATGAGATTCTCAGCTTGGATACAGAAGGTCCATTTGCTGTTCGTCAAACTGCGTTATCTCTGGTGTCGTTTAGCCAGATATCCGACTATCTATCAAAGGAAGAGTGGCCTGCGCTACATTTGGTTCTGTCATGTTGGTGTTAGTAGTAGAGGGCAAGAGGCGGTTCACATCTTTGATCACAGACGTCTTTGTTACATTGCTCAGGTATAGTGGAAATCATCATGAGAGCAATGTTGTTTTCAGGCAAAGGCTAACTAGACAAGGAAGGTAAGTTAGTCAATGAGGTTGTTAACCTTCAGTGAGTGATGTTGCCTAGACATATGTTTTGCATGCCTACCTCGACGTGCCATGCCACCATTAGTTGGATTAGATTGGAAGGAGGGTTCAGAGTGGCTAAATCAAGACATGGTATCGGTCGATGTGAAGTCCCTGACTGTTGGTCTGATCGAAGTCTCTTGGTGAAATGGCTGAAAGCTCCTTGACGCTTCCTCACACTTGAATATCTGCTCTAACCGTTATCTTCAAATTGTTTATTATCTCTTACACAACTTCGTTTACTCGTTTATTGTTTGCATAATACTGCGATGTGTGACAACTTGAGGTGATCTACTTGTGTGTGAGGCTTTTATATTGATCATGTTTTGACGTCAGCTTCTCTTTAGACAGGAGAGTTTTTAAAACAAGCAAACATCCCTTCGGATCGGTGTGTCATACATTCGAAACTATTTATACTCTCCGCCAAGTGACATGTGAACTGCTCGATTGACATCATATTCATTATAGTTACATAGTTAAGAGGCTTAATGGAAACATGCTGGCCACGAAACCTGAAGGTCGTGGTTTCGATACCTGGGAGGGCAGGTTCATGGGTGCTCACTACTCAGGGATCCCACACTGAAATGAAATAGCTGTCCAGTGCTCACAGGTTTCCAATGTCCCTTCAACTGATATCAGTCAGTCCATAATGTAAATACCAACTTGAAATCAATCAGTAAATCCCCACAAACCCTCAAATTCAACTGATCTAGCGCTCATTGGTGAATGACTTCGAAAGGTGATTGCTGAAGTTCCAATCAGAAGTCGTGACCGGTGGGGCAAACCTGATGGACATGAGGATTGATACTCAACGTTGGTATTGGTTGATGGTCGCACCATTTCGTGAAGCATTATATTGTGACTCAGTGGCTGAATGTTAACGTGCTGACCACAGAACCTGAAGGTCGTTTGTTCGATCATTGGTAGGGTGGAGTGGTGTCGTGGGTTCGCACTGCTGAGGAGTCTCAAGGTAGGACGAAACAGATGTTCAGTTCTTTAAGGTCTCCAATGTTCCTTTAACTAATATCAGTCAGTCTATGATGAATATTAACTTGAAAAATATTTGTCCTTTCCTTTGGATATGCCTACAACGGAAATTCATATCTCTTGTTCACAGCTGTTCTCTAAGTTTTAGGTCAACCTCAAAATCAATAAAAAGAGTGACTCATATCCGTATTTTTAAAATCAGTTTTGTAAAAGATAGAAACACTTGAATAAACCTATGCATAGTGTATGCGTGTGTGTCTGGGGGGGGGAAGGGTGGATAGGTGGGGTGAGAACAGTAAGTCCGAAGTTGAATGCCATAAATTATGACAGATAAATAGTGTTAATCACATCCCACATAACAAGAAAGGTGTGTTTACCTGAAGTCTGGATAACAATGGAAGTGGGAGCGGATACTAGCCACTGGACTGACGAGTAGACGGAGCAAAAAAAAATCTCAACAAAGTGATTTTTACATAAGTTTTACGAAAGTGATGCATAAATCATACTTCTACTGGCATATTATTACTGCTAACATTAATATTGGTAGTAGTAGTTGTGGTTGTATTGGTGATACAGTAGTACTACTAATCGATTTTTCGGTTTTTCAGATGTTTTCCAGTACTATTATTTCTTGTGATATATTTGTAGTTGATACTGGGTGATGATGATTAAAGGTGGAATGGAAATTTGCGCTGCGGCGGTGGGATTCGAACCAGTGACTACCGGGTTAAGGTTTGGGTTTTGCCGTGACTACCATGTGTTTTGTTGACGTGTTACTATCGGTTGACCGTACTTACTCACACTGACTACCTGCAGTCAGAACTTCTTATCCCAATCCAAATTAAACTGAATTATAGAGGGTGAGCATCATATCAATATTACACTGAGTCCAGTTGATCGACCTCTGTTAGCAGATGGGAGCTCCTATGCGTATCCCATCATGAAGATCAATATAGGACCAGGCATTATTGCGTAATGGTTCGAGTTGCCACACCTCAAATCAGCACAACAAGTAACAAGGCAATATAGTGGAAGATGGAAAAGGAAAGAAAAATCTGCTGAAGAAAGTAAATGTAGAAAGTAATTCAGGAAACGAGAAGACAGTGACGAAGGAAGGAATGCTTATTATTAACATGTAGTACAGTAGTCATTAAATATGGTACACCTTGCACTAAAACCGTCATTTGCATAATGTGCTTCATTTCCTCTTCTGCTTCTCTCTTGATCTGCCCTTAATACGCCAGAGTTGTCCCTTGCATTTTTCTGGATAGAATCTTTACCCATTACTGTAATTC